AAAAAAAATAGACATACTTGCAGGCCTGAGAAAGCTGCCAAATTGAATAGGACTTTAGGAGCCATGATCTGGAGCAGAAAGGACTCACCCTAAGGTAAGCTATACATTCTGGGCTATTTTTCCTTTCAAGTCATTCACCAATTCATAAGCCAGGCAGCACTCTGAGACTAAGAGGTTTGAGCAGAAAGTTGCTCAAACTGAATTAGTATTCAAGGCCTCCCAAAGAAGCATGGTAGAGGAAAATGCCCCTCTTTTTTCATTTCAAAAATAAATATTTCCCATTAGAACTCTAGAAATTTTGAAACATATTTAATTAAGCATACATCCATTCATGTTTAAAGAAATCTTAGCAAACTAGAAATAGAAGGAAACATATGTAATTTGAAAAGGCACATCAACAGCTAAAAACCTATTAAAATCATACTCGATCATGAAATACTGAACACTTCTCTCCTGATACTGGGAATGAGATGAGCAGAGCCCACATCACCAATTCTTATCAACCTCAAAGAGGATCCCGCCGGAGCAAAAATGCAAGAACAAGAGAGAAGAATCATCATATTTGGAAATGAAGAAATGAAAAGGTCATGATTTACACATGACATGACTGCATATTCAGATGATACAAAGAATCTACAAATTATGTATTTGTATTGCTAAGTTTTTCAGACAGCTTATTGTACAAAAATTAATTTTGTTCCTACATATTGGGAACCATTTAAAAATGAAATGAAGGAGATGCCATGTATTACAGCATCAAAATGTCCAAATATCTAGGAATAAAGCTTTCAAAAGATGTACAAGCCCTCTCCAACATGCACTACATAATGATAATGAGGGAAATTAAAGAATAGCTGGAAACGGAAGTAAAACTACATTCATACGTTGGAAGATTTGATATTGTTAAGAGAATATTAAGATGATCCTTGAATTGATGTGTAAATTCAATGCTATCTCATTCAACAGCCCAGAATGAATTCTCTTGGAATCTGATGAGACAAATTCAAAATGTACATGGAGATGAAAAGAACCAAGAAACCCCAAAGACAATTTTGCAAATGAAAAACAAAGCTCAAAGGCTTGGAACAGTGAGTTTAAAAGTTATCATGAAGCTACAACCATTAAGATGGTATTGACTTAATGCAAAGACAGACCGGAAGGGAATGGAGCGGACAGAGACTCCCAAACTGGATTTATGCCAAGTTGGCCTTACTTTGCAATGGGAAATGATCCCCCTATCAATAAATAGTGCTAAGTCAACTGGATATTCAAGAATGCAGCAAAACATATGCAGCCCATGATGTATATGAAATTAAAAAGAATTATAGAGATACATTTATTTATTAATTAAAATGTACTTTTTTTTTAGTGAATTTTGCAAAGTGGTATTTGTCTACATTAAAGATTTAGTGATTTGTTTTTATGTCTTTTCTTATGTATTCATTTTTAAACCACTCTTCTATCTGTAATTTTCTGTTATTTTTCTCAAATTGTATAAGCTTCAAATAAAATGCAAGATGGATAAAATGCAATTCTAGCTATATCAGCTTCATTTAACAAGTAGCTAAAGGAATGAGATGGTACGGCCAGAAAGTGGGATGTTAGACTTCAAGATTTCTGAGAAGCAGTCAGGGTGGTTAAGATCCCAAGTATTGCCCTGGAGATGAACAGAAATTAGATTGGGGTTGAAGGATAAGTCACTGGCATGGACACGTTCAGAATTCAAAAACCTCATTTTTCAGTGAGTTACTCTAGATGCTGCACTTTCCTGGAATTTGATATGTCAAATCTAGCTGAGACTCCAACAAGGAGAGTTGAAGACCTGGAAGCAGGTCTTAACCCTTTCATGGCATTAGACTAGGTAACTTGGGAGGGTGGTAGATGACAGAGACATGAGAGGGTCAAGAGCTTTAGTATGATTTTTCTGACCTTGCGGTGGGTAAACTCCATAAATATTAAAGTAGCAGTTTAGAAACAATAGGGTTAACTAACCTTATCTTCCCTCGGCCAGTTCCCCATTCCCTCCATCACTCTGAGCATTGTCATGACAGATGAGCTTGTCTGCCCCACCCCATAGAATGTGCACTTCTAAAGGGAACCAGTAAATGAAAGAGTTATTAGGTCTATTTGTTTAACTAAATANCACCCCATAGAATGTGCACTTCTAAAGGGAACCAGTAAATGAAAGAGTTATTAGGTCTATTTGTTTAACTAAATATAAGTTTTATATGGGGGCTGTACTTTTAACCATTTTATCCTAATGCCTATTATATAGTACCAACTTTCTAAATGTTTGTTGCATTAAGGATGAAAAAAATCAATGATGACATATGTGACTACCTCTTTACTTCCCTTTATTTCCGTAAGTATCACCGTCCCTTAACATCAATGTCTACCACTGGCTAGGATTACCTTCTCCTCCAGAGATATGCCATCAGTATTTATGAACGTGTGCTGGAATTTTTTTAGAATGGAGGTTCAGTGTTCTGGCTCACCTGGAGTAATTTCTTTTTTAATCTGTACTTTGAAATTTATTGTCCTCCTTTTGTCAATAGCCCTTTTAAATTTTTCACCGACTCAGATTGATCTCAACTTTCTAGACTGACCTTAATGTCACTTGTGTGGATAAGGTAGCTTTCTGGATGTCAATATTTCATTTTGGGAATAAGAATGATTTTGTAGAGATAAATCCCATCTCATAGCCAAATGTTTTTACTGGAGGTCAATAGTCCTTTTACAGTGAAAGCACCATGATTTTGTTTGTTTAAATGCAACCTTTAAAACTTCAACCTTAAGACAGTTATTATGGACATATTCCCACTTATGAACCAAAATACATTTTTGTGTGTGTCTTTAAACCAGAGCTGATTTGGCGAAAATGGACAGAAAAATCTCACATCCTCCAGTGAGGCTAAGGAGTTGGCATGCTTTCTTTTACCATAGCTCTGATTGAGGGGACAGAAACTAGCATTGATTAAGCATCCTCTATGAGTCAAGCAAGGAGCTAATCCCATGCTTAAGATGACATTCTCTAATTTATTCTCTTTAATGACTTTACGATTTTAGCTTCCATTATTCCCACTTTAAAAATGAAGCTTCGAGAAATTAAGTAACCTGTCTGCATTTGGCTAGTTGGGGGCAGAGCCAGGACTCAAACCATGGTTTTTCCAGCTTCCGTGGTCTTTCACTCCATCACACTGCTTTGACTTCCATTCTGTTAAAAAAAGGGAAGGAAATCATGTCAAATTACTGGAAAGTAATCACAGTGCTTATATCTTGTCAGGAAAACAAAAAAAAGCCATTTATCAATTCAAGAATCTGCTTCCTACACTATTTATCATATCAATGACGTTTCTCTACTTGGATCCACAGCCTTCTTTGCCTTCTCGGAGTACCTAGCAGGCATTTCCTTTATTTCACTCCATTAGTATGTAGTAGTGATAGTGTCCCATCTCCTTGACCTCTTACATGTGCTTGTTTCCTTAAAAACTGATGATTTTTCCAAAGAAAATACTCTATTTATGCTTCTGTTACGTCCATCATTGCTTAGCTGAGAACCAGGATCACAACAGAACTACTTCCAGCCCACGCTGGATTGAAAGAGATTTATATGGAAAAAAAGCACATTGTTTTAAAAAGATAAAGTACTAAACTATATTTGTACAATCTTTTAAATTCATATTGTTTTTGGTGGTGACAAGGATATGGTGTTCCTTTCAACTTTTGATAACATTTTTGAACGCTTTGCTTGCCTTCACTTAATCATTGGCTAACTCATGTGGGAAGCACCATGAGCTGGCAAATCAGAAATGGTGGGGTTTTAATACCCAGCACTGCCACTGAATTACTCTAAGTCCCTGAGCAGGTTATTTTGCCTCTCTGACCCTCAGTTTCTTCAGTTGTAGGATAAAGGTAATGACAGTATCTGGCTCATAGGATTTAATATAATATCTATAACTAATATCATAATATCTACAAAGTATCTGAAATGGTATTTAGCAAATGATTGACACTTAGCAAATATATATTCCCTTTCTTCCATGAATATATTCCCAAAATCTATTCATATCTTTTCCAATTTACATACGAGGGAAATGAGGAATTTGCAGGCACAACTTAGGTGCAAGCAGATCCATCTTCCTCATCAGTGTCTGCCTATTTCCATGCTTTTTTCCCAACTATACCTCTGTTGTACATTGTCCCCTACTCTGTTCCCATCTTCAGAACCAACCTCCAAAGCTATCTCCTTAGAAGATGAGCACTGTCTCTTCAAGCTCCCTCTCAGAGTATCGTATGTCTGTTCAACATCTCTTACAATATTTATCATCTTCTATTGTCATAGATGTCACCTTTGTCTCATTTCATCCAAATACAAGTTCTGAGGCCTCCTCCTAAATACTTACATTGCATTCTGAGTTTCAAGGATGCCCTCTTTCTGTTTGGAGGGCTCCTGAATGTCTGGCAACACTGTAAAGACATTACTCCCCACATGCATCAGTTTGGTAAGTCCCAGCAAACCCTTGGAGCCCTGGCAGGCATGCCTTCTTAGACAATCAACAACCAGTTTGCACAGGACTCTGTATGAAAAGCACTCAGCAGATAGTGATGGGCAGGCAACACAGGGTACCCTGCGGGTTTAGAGTGGCTCCCATTTCTTCCCTTCTGCTGCTAAAGGATGGGGTTAGACAAGACCTCAATGCCGAGTCCTTTCTCCCTCACATTACCCCCTTGGGTCTATAACCAATTCCCTCGCCACTCCAAACTCTTACCAGGGAAAGCCCCAAACTTATTTTTAGCCTGATAACCTTCATTTCCTATATTTATCCCTCCTGAATTCTTTCTTTCTGTTTTTCCACATCACTATTTAAGCATAAACTCCTTTTTTACTTGTATCAGGATCTTCTCTTTTGATTGTCGAAAACTTCAGCCAAACGTTTCCTCTTATAAATCAAAAGCTTTTGCTTTCAATTATGGTGTCTGATGTGGGCTTCAAGAGCTTATTTTGAAGTCAGAAAAAAGTCAACATTTTTTTTTCATCTCTGCTTTAATAATCCTGATTCTCTAAGAATTATTTTGTGGACGCTTCTGGCTGAATAAGAAATGGTTACACACAAACAAGAGCAGAAGGGAAATGACCAAGGTTGATATTTCAGCATAATATATTTGACCTAATTTTGTATTACAGATATTTGTATACATCATATCTTTTCTAAAAAGGGTAAATTTCTTCAAGTCAGAAGTTTAATCTTGTCTCTCTGTATCTTCTCAGAGTACCAAGCTTCTGGTCTTGCATAGAGTAAGTAAACAGTAAATATTTGTTGAATTAAATTGAAAAAGCACAATACGTGTTCTTTAAAATCCAAGGGCAAAGCCACATGGAAGAACTTGAGGGTGTAATAAACACACAGACACTGCAGTATGCTAATCAGTTGATCCAAAATAATGGTCATTTTAAAATTAAAAACATGCAGAGAATTGTATTAGCCTTGCTTAGAAGGCCACATTATAAAAACATGTTCGTAGGATAGGTGACACGAATTCAAATGTTTCTTACACATCCTACTGGAATTCTGCATTCCATCTAAATAAATTATGACTTGTTTGATTAGTTGTACCTGTGCAACCAACTGAAAATCAGATTATTTATGTAAAACCAAGGAATATTAGTTAGAGCTCTTGTAAGTGAAATTGAAAACTGTTCCTGTGATTTGAGGTGTATGAGATATTGCCTGCCTGAAATAATTCACCATTTTAGTTCATTTTTCTTCATATGGCTATTGTTTTTATCTAGGTGACAAAGGGGAAAAGGGTTTGCCTGGGATAGCCGGAGGAAAGGGCAAAGCAGGTATGACATGCTCGTTTTTCTCTTAAATTTCTAGCATCATTCCAAATGTATTCATCTCAAAAATTTCATCTGTGAAATAAACAAGTTTTTCAACTTGCTTAACCTTGCTACAGATTTTACTCAAGCTGCAGGAAAGGGAAGGGAACTTTCCTCTCTATCTGCCAGTGACTTTCCAAGCCCTGGGCGAGGAGATGGTGGCACATACCATCCCAGGCATGAATACTGTGAGGAAGCTGGCCAGCATATCAGAAAGCAGCCCTCACTCTCCTAGACCTAGAGGAGAATCCACAGTGGCCTCAGCAATAGGACGGCATTAGCATGCCTCACATTCCATCGCCTCTCAACCAAATACAGCAAGCAGTTTGCCAGCAGCCAACCGGCCTGGTCTGGAAAGACCCCGTGGCTACAGAACATGCCCCCAATGGCCAAGGGGGGGGTCTCCCTGAGTACTGGGGGCTTCCTTCCAGGGCTGTGTGCAGGGAAAGAAAGTAGATGTTCCTGAGGGCTTTGATTGGTTCTACCCACAGAAAGGTTGTAAGAGTTATTTTAATTTCCTTATGTTTAATTACGAATATGGATCAGTAAAGCCACAGATTTTTTTTTCTCCTTTGGCTAATGAAATTGTTTTTGCTTTCCAACTCCAAAAGAAAAAGAAAAAGGAAATGATTACAGGAAGCAGCTGTTAAATAGAAAAAGAGAATCATTTGAATTTCACATCATTTTCCTTACAATCCCATCTCTGTCACATATCAGTAGATAGTTGAAAAGGTAAAAGAGAAAGGGGAATGAATGGGAGAAATTAAAATAATAGTTAATCCACAAATGGACAACTGGCTCTTGAAATGGTAAATTGACTCCATTTACAAGATTTAAATTTAGTCCTTGAAACATGCAAGCTATAATCCAAATGCATAATCAGAATGGACATTTAATTTCATCATGAAAGTTTCTCCTGTCTTGGGACAGTTGTGTGAGCCAGTGAACAATGAGGTAACGGAAGACAGGACTGGATAAAAATATGTTTTAAGGAAGTTGTAAAGATCTTATTCCGAGATTGGACAGGCATGTTCTGTGTTGCAAAAAATACCAAATGGTCCACAATATGAGTGCAGTGGTTTGTCTTATCTACTCATCTTTTTAAAAAATCTGGTTTAGAACTGTTTTAACTCACTCAAAACATTTAAAAAGGTATTTTCAGAATTCCTAAGGCAATATAAATTGGACACCTTGTTTTAAATAAAAGATGAAAAATAAAGCTATTTGCAGAGAGACAGCCAGATTAGAAAAAGATAGTAAATATTGGGAAGACAGTAATTGCTCTTCAACCAGTCTGCACGTGCTTCAACATGACTTCACGGTTTTTGAAATTTAAAAGGTACTGTATGTGATTGTGGAAGATACCGGAAAGTTGTGGGACAACTGGACATTAGTGTTGCTCGGCTTAAGACATCTATGAAGTTCATCAAGAATGGTAAGTATATTCTCTCTAGTTTTGTGCTGCCTCTCAATTTAGTCTCTTGCAACACTACAATTCCAATATTCCCAGCAGGAAATATCTTGGGGTGAGCAGGGCCACCAGCTTAAAGCTCTTTCAGGATGCCAGTTATCCACTCAGACTCCAGGACACTTTAGGTCCACCACACATAGTCATACACGTGGCCATTTCTGTGGAATATTGCTATATTTCTATGGGTAGAAAAGGTACTTTCGGAAGAGAGAGGAATGGAGAAAAGGGCAGATTTTGACAAGTCATACCTTAAGAATAAAAAGGGACAGCAAGAGTTAAACAAAGCTAGCATCTCAAAAAACAGAAGGCATAATAAAAGGAATAGCTGCTTTCTTGAGTATGTGGAATAATAATAATAACTATGATGTAGGTACTAAGATTTAACTGAAGCTTTGAGAGATTGCCTTGCCCATAGATACAGAGCTAATAAGCAGTGGATCAGGGATTTAAATACAGGCTTCACTGATTTCTCAACCCTCACTACAAATCAATAGGAAGCTTACGGCTTTCTCTAAATTTTGTCACTTGCCTTATCAGTTATTTTTTGTTATCCCTTGTCCATTTCTCCTTAAACTAGGGCTTATGTGTCCTCTTCTGAGACACTATGAATGAGAATCTATTGTAGTTACAGTTGCAATTGGCTTCATCTAATTGTCCATTCATTTATTGTAATCCAGCTGTATTTGTTATATGTGATTGGAAGCACACATATGCCATCTTGTGTTCAGCTTCATCTTGTCATGTCAGAGGCCCTGAAACGCTTGATGTTAACTAGCCACCCTAATTACAGCTCTGGTTATAACCCACACTAAGATGCTACCTCTGACATGCCTTGGACTCTCATGAATAAACCAGACCTCAGAGGTTCAACATTCAGCAGTAGTTCGTAACATTTGAGTGGTGACAGATTTCTGTGTGAATTTTCATTTATGGGCCCTAAAAAAATATGCTATACATAGATAGCGTATTATGGACTCAGGATGGTTCTGAGTCTCCAGCTCTGGCCTCAAGGTTACTCAGTAGCTCAATCTGCTTCATATGTCTGGACTGAACTGTAGATAGTTTTAATCTGTGAACATGTTCAACCCCAGGACCTTAGCCCAGAGTGGCCAAACTTCTGTATTATTTCCATATCTGTTCAATAATCTTTTATGGCACCATTACTGTTGCAGGCAACAGAGTAGCAAAGACACAGCTGTTGTTCTCAAGACATTCCAGTTCAGTACCAGAGACACACAAACAATCAGACTAGAAAATATTGAGTGCTATAAGGGAGGAACTGGAAGGGACAATGGAAACACAGGGAAAGCACACAAGAGTGCCTGTGTCTGCCCAGGGGCACTGGAAAGGCTCTTGTAGGAGAAGAGACTCCCACTGAGGTGTAGATGATGAGCAGGAGTCCGCCAGCTAAAGCAGCAAGAACACTTCCCAGGCATAGAAGTGGAAGAGAGAAGGGCACAGTAGTGGCAAAAGCATAAACTAGTATGGGAAAAGTAGTCCGAGATGAACTGGGTGGCAGCTCACATGACAAGTCCTTGTCAGCATAGCTCTCTGCTTCACAGTTGTGTGGGGAGTTAAGGAGAAAGAGCAGGAAGGACAAATGGTGGGGGGTTGGTCCCCATTTGATAGCTGGGAAGGTGGAGAAGATATGAAACCTACCTCATAATAGGGCCTTGAAAAATAACTGTTGAATGTTGAATAAATAAACTTATGTTGACCATAGCATAGACTTGCCTTTTCTCTCTTTGAGTTATGTCATCACTGCCCTCTTTTCCTCTCTGCAAAGTCATAGCAGGGATTAGGGAAACTGAAGAGAAATTCTACTACATCGTGCAGGAGGAGAAGAACTACCGGGAATCCCTGACCCACTGCCGGATCCGGGGGGGCATGTTAGCCATGCCAAAGGACGAGGCTGCCAACACCCTCATCGCTGACTACGTGGCCAAGAGCGGCTTCTTCCGGGTGTTCATCGGGGTGAATGATCTGGAGAAGGAGGGGCAGTACGTGTTCACGGACAACACTCCACTGCAGAACTACAGCAACTGGAAGGAGGGGGAGCCCAGCGACCCCTTTGGTCACGAGGACTGTGTGGAAATGCTGAGCTCCGGCAGGTGGAATGACACCGAGTGCCATCTTACCATGTACTTTGTCTGTGAGTTTGTCAAGAAGAAAAAGTAACTTCTCTCATGCTACCCATGTGTTGTTTCCCTGTGACTACCGTTGCAGTTATTTTTATCCATCTTTTCTTCCTAATTACACCTCTTACATGCGTTCTAAATCCAGTAGTAAATCTAAACTGAGGTTTGGAATCTCCATCGCCATGGTCTTCTGTGACGATTATGAACATTTCGTGTAAGGCATATTATTGAACCAATAGCTCCCCAGGGTCCCAAAAAGAGAGTTTGAATTGCTTATGGTGCAGGAGGTGGTTGTCTGTGGCTCAAATGGAATGTTCGCTTGGCATTTGCTCTGCCACCTCTCCTTCAAGCCCTAAAACTCTCCTTTAAGCTTCTTAAGCTCATGGATAATCGGACAGTTGGTTGGTGATTAGGCTAACCTGCTAAGCTGCCCTTGTTCAAAGCCAGACATACGGGAAGGCTGCTGTCAGGAATGCCAAGATATTACCTGTCTTTGAGCCCAAGATCCCCTTTTCTTTGACCAGCATCTGCCATGACCATAGCCACACTCACAAGGTCCTCCTGTTTGCACAGACACAGAAATACTTCAACCCCAAGCCTCCATAGGAGGAACTTCTAGCCCAGGGACCTGTCCAGACCATATGGAATCATACAGACAGCTTTTGTGCTTCTGATAGACAGTCTTTACTAAGGTACACCAAGCAGCTGCCTTGGAGCCCTTTCTGTAAGCCCACAACTTAATCACAGGTCCCCAGATAGTAACTCTCTGATATGAGGAAAAGAGAACTTAAGAACTTGAAATTTTTAAAAATGAAAGGGTTTGTTCCGAAACAATATTATTTATAATTCTACTGCTAAATGTCCCCTGCTATTAATATGGCTCCATTTTTTCTTGTCTCATGTTTATCCATATGAACTTTCCTCCCCTTAGGTATGGGGAATGAAGGAAAGGGTTTGTGAAGCCTTCAGAAAATTCCCAAAGCTTCAAGGTGCTAGCAACGTAAAGTCTCTAAATCCCCTCTTCCTTGCATCTAATAAATCACGCATGGTGACGTTTCGTGGAAGGCCCTTTACTCTCCATAAATGTATAATGTAAGAGATGCTCTGTCCAGTACTCTGACATCACAGGAATATGTCAGGCATGGAGTTTGGAACATACCTAGGACTCACATATGCCAAGCTGGTAAAATTCCACTTTAAACTGCAGATCAAAACTCAAAGCAGCTTTCATTTGAAATCTTAAAATGAGTAGTTCAACAGNACTTTTGATAACATTTTTGAACGCTTTGCTTGCCTTCACTTAATCATTGGCTAACTCATGTGGGAAGCACCATGAGCTGGCAAATCAGAAATGGTGGGGTTTTAATACCCAGCACTGCCACTGAATTACTCTAAGTCCCTGAGCAGGTTATTTTGCCTCTCTGACCCTCAGTTTCTTCAGTTGTAGGATAAAGGTAATGACAGTATCTGGCTCATAGGATTTAATATAATATCTATAACTAATATCATAATATCTACAAAGTATCTGAAATGGTATTTAGCAAATGATTGACACTTAGCAAATATATATTCCCTTTCTTCCATGAATATATTCCCAAAATCTATTCATATCTTTTCCAATTTACATACGAGGGAAATGAGGAATTTGCAGGCACAACTTAGGTGCAAGCAGATCCATCTTCCTCATCAGTGTCTGCCTATTTCCATGCTTTTTTCCCAACTATACCTCTGTTGTACATTGTCCCCTACTCTGTTCCCATCTTCAGAACCAACCTCCAAAGCTATCTCCTTAGAAGATGAGCACTGTCTCTTCAAGCTCCCTCTCAGAGTATCGTATGTCTGTTCAACATCTCTTACAATATTTATCATCTTCTATTGTCATAGATGTCACCTTTGTCTCATTTCATCCAAATACAAGTTCTGAGGCCTCCTCCTAAATACTTACATTGCATTCTGAGTTTCAAGGATGCCCTCTTTCTGTTTGGAGGGCTCCTGAATGTCTGGCAACACTGTAAAGACATTACTCCCCACATGCATCAGTTTGGTAAGTCCCAGCAAACCCTTGGAGCCCTGGCAGGCATGCCTTCTTAGACAATCAACAACCAGTTTGCACAGGACTCTGTATGAAAAGCACTCAGCAGATAGTGATGGGCAGGCAACACAGGGTACCCTGCGGGTTTAGAGTGGCTCCCATTTCTTCCCTTCTGCTGCTAAAGGATGGGGTTAGACAAGACCTCAATGCCGAGTCCTTTCTCCCTCACATTACCCCCTTGGGTCTATAACCAATTCCCTCGCCACTCCAAACTCTTACCAGGGAAAGCCCCAAACTTATTTTTAGCCTGATAACCTTCATTTCCTATATTTATCCCTCCTGAATTCTTTCTTTCTGTTTTTCCACATCACTATTTAAGCATAAACTCCTTTTTTACTTGTATCAGGATCTTCTCTTTTGATTGTCGAAAACTTCAGCCAAACGTTTCCTCTTATAAATCAAAAGCTTTTGCTTTCAATTATGGTGTCTGATGTGGGCTTCAAGAGCTTATTTTGAAGTCAGAAAAAAGTCAACATTTTTTTTTCATCTCTGCTTTAATAATCCTGATTCTCTAAGAATTATTTTGTGGACGCTTCTGGCTGAATAAGAAATGGTTACACACAAACAAGAGCAGAAGGGAAATGACCAAGGTTGATATTTCAGCATAATATATTTGACCTAATTTTGTATTACAGATATTTGTATACATCATATCTTTTCTAAAAAGGGTAAATTTCTTCAAGTCAGAAGTTTAATCTTGTCTCTCTGTATCTTCTCAGAGTACCAAGCTTCTGGTCTTGCATAGAGTAAGTAAACAGTAAATATTTGTTGAATTAAATTGAAAAAGCACAATACGTGTTCTTTAAAATCCAAGGGCAAAGCCACATGGAAGAACTTGAGGGTGTAATAAACACACAGACACTGCAGTATGCTAATCAGTTGATCCAAAATAATGGTCATTTTAAAATTAAAAACATGCAGAGAATTGTATTAGCCTTGCTTAGAAGGCCACATTATAAAAACATGTTCGTAGGATAGGTGACACGAATTCAAATGTTTCTTACACATCCTACTGGAATTCTGCATTCCATCTAAATAAATTATGACTTGTTTGATTAGTTGTACCTGTGCAACCAACTGAAAATCAGATTATTTATGTAAAACCAAGGAATATTAGTTAGAGCTCTTGTAAGTGAAATTGAAAACTGTTCCTGTGATTTGAGGTGTATGAGATATTGCCTGCCTGAAATAATTCACCATTTTAGTTCATTTTTCTTCATATGGCTATTGTTTTTATCTAGGTGACAAAGGGGAAAAGGGTTTGCCTGGGATAGCCGGAGGAAAGGGCAAAGCAGGTATGACATGCTCGTTTTTCTCTTAAATTTCTAGCATCATTCCAAATGTATTCATCTCAAAAATTTCATCTGTGAAATAAACAAGTTTTTCAACTTGCTTAACCTTGCTACAGATTTTACTCAAGCTGCAGGAAAGGGAAGGGAACTTTCCTCTCTATCTGCCAGTGACTTTCCAAGCCCTGGGCGAGGAGATGGTGGCACATACCATCCCAGGCATGAATACTGTGAGGAAGCTGGCCAGCATATCAGAAAGCAGCCCTCACTCTCCTAGACCTAGAGGAGAATCCACAGTGGCCTCAGCAATAGGACGGCATTAGCATGCCTCACATTCCATCGCCTCTCAACCAAATACAGCAAGCAGTTTGCCAGCAGCCAACCGGCCTGGTCTGGAAAGACCCCGTGGCTACAGAACATGCCCCCAATGGCCAAGGGGGGGGTCTCCCTGAGTACTGGGGGCTTCCTTCCAGGGCTGTGTGCAGGGAAAGAAAGTAGATGTTCCTGAGGGCTTTGATTGGTTCTACCCACAGAAAGGTTGTAAGAGTTATTTTAATTTCCTTATGTTTAATTACGAATATGGATCAGTAAAGCCACAGATTTTTTTTTCTCCTTTGGCTAATGAAATTGTTTTTGCTTTCCAACTCCAAAAGAAAAAGAAAAAGGAAATGATTACAGGAAGCAGCTGTTAAATAGAAAAAGAGAATCATTTGAATTTCACATCATTTTCCTTACAATCCCATCTCTGTCACATATCAGTAGATAGTTGAAAAGGTAAAAGAGAAAGGGGAATGAATGGGAGAAATTAAAATAATAGTTAATCCACAAATGGACAACTGGCTCTTGAAATGGTAAATTGACTCCATTTACAAGATTTAAATTTAGTCCTTGAAACATGCAAGCTATAATCCAAATGCATAATCAGAATGGACATTTAATTTCATCATGAAAGTTTCTCCTGTCTTGGGACAGTTGTGTGAGCCAGTGAACAATGAGGTAACGGAAGACAGGACTGGATAAAAATATGTTTTAAGGAAGTTGTAAAGATCTTATTCCGAGATTGGACAGGCATGTTCTGTGTTGCAAAAAATACCAAATGGTCCACAATATGAGTGCAGTGGTTTGTCTTATCTACTCATCTTTTTAAAAAATCTGGTTTAGAACTGTTTTAACTCACTCAAAACATTTAAAAAGGTATTTTCAGAATTCCTAAGGCAATATAAATTGGACACCTTGTTTTAAATAAAAGATGAAAAATAAAGCTATTTGCAGAGAGACAGCCAGATTAGAAAAAGATAGTAAATATTGGGAAGACAGTAATTGCTCTTCAACCAGTCTGCACGTGCTTCAACATGACTTCACGGTTTTTGAAATTTAAAAGGTACTGTATGTGATTGTGGAAGATACCGGAAAGTTGTGGGACAACTGGACATTAGTGTTGCTCGGCTTAAGACATCTATGAAGTTCATCAAGAATGGTAAGTATATTCTCTCTAGTTTTGTGCTGCCTCTCAATTTAGTCTCTTGCAACACTACAATTCCAATATTCCCAGCAGGAAATATCTTGGGGTGAGCAGGGCCACCAGCTTAAAGCTCTTTCAGGATGCCAGTTATCCACTCAGACTCCAGGACACTTTAGGTCCACCACACATAGTCATACACGTGGCCATTTCTGTGGAATATTGCTATATTTCTATGGGTAGAAAAGGTACTTTCGGAAGAGAGAGGAATGGAGAAAAGGGCAGATTTTGACAAGTCATACCTTAAGAATAAAAAGGGACAGCAAGAGTTAAACAAAGCTAGCATCTCAAAAAACAGAAGGCATAATAAAAGGAATAGCTGCTTTCTTGAGTATGTGGAATAATAATAATAACTATGATGTAGGTACTAAGATTTAACTGAAGCTTTGAGAGATTGCCTTGCCCATAGATACAGAGCTAATAAGCAGTGGATCAGGGATTTAAATACAGGCTTCACTGATTTCTCAACCCTCACTACAAATCAATAGGAAGCTTACGGCTTTCTCTAAATTTTGTCACTTGCCTTATCAGTTATTTTTTGTTATCCCTTGTCCATTTCTCCTTAAACTAGGGCTTATGTGTCCTCTTCTGAGACACTATGAATGAGAATCTATTGTAGTTACAGTTGCAATTGGCTTCATCTAATTGTCCATTCATTTATTGTAATCCAGCTGTATTTGTTATATGTGATTGGAAGCACACATATGCCATCTTGTGTTCAGCTTCATCTTGTCATGTCAGAGGCCCTGAAACGCTTGATGTTAACTAGCCACCCTAATTACAGCTCTGGTTATAACCCACACTAAGATGCTACCTCTGACATGCCTTGGACTCTCATGAATAAACCAGACCTCAGAGGTTCAACATTCAGCAGTAGTTCGTAACATTTGAGTGGTGACAGATTTCTGTGTGAATTTTCATTTATGGGCCCTAAAAAAATATGCTATACATAGATAGCGTATTATGGACTCAGGATGGTTCTGAGTCTCCAGCTCTGGCCTCAAGGTTACTCAGTAGCTCAATCTGCTTCATATGTCTGGACTGAACTGTAGATAGTTTTAATCTGTGAACATGTTCAACCCCAGGACCTTAGCCCAGAGTGGCCAAACTTCTGTATTATTTCCATATCTGTTCAATAATCTTTTATGGCACCATTACTGTTGCAGGCAACAGAGTAGCAAAGACACAGCTGTTGTTCTCAAGACATTCCAGTTCAGTACCAGAGACACACAAACAATCAGACTAGAAAATATTGAGTGCTATAAGGGAGGAACTGGAAGGGACAATGGAAACACAGGGAAAGCACACAAGAGTGCCTGTGTCTGCCCAGGGGCACTGGAAAGGCTCTTGTAGGAGAAGAGACTCCCACTGAGGTGTAGATGATGAGCAGGAGTCCGCCAGCTAAAGCAGCAAGAACACTTCCCAGGCATAGAAGTGGAAGAGAGAAGGGCACAGTAGTGGCAAAAGCATAAACTAGTATGGGAAAAGTAGTCCGAGATGAACTGGGTGGCAGCTCACATGACAAGTCCTTGTCAGCATAGCTCTCTGCTTCACAGTTGTGTGGGGAGTTAAGGAGAAAGAGCAGGAAGGACAAATGGTGGGGGGTTGGTCCCCATTTGATAGCTGGGAAGGTGGAGAAGATATGAAACCTACCTCATAATAGGGCCTTGAAAAATAACTGTTGAATGTTGAATAAATAAACTTATGTTGACCATAGCATAGACTTGCCTTTTCTCTCTTTGAGTTATGTCATCACTGCCCTCTTTTCCTCTCTGCAAAGTCATAGCAGGGATTAGGGAAACTGAAGAGAAATTCTACTACATCGTGCAGGAGGAGAAGAACTACCGGGAATCCCTGACCCACTGCCGGATCCGGGGGGGCATGTTAGCCATGCCAAAGGACGAGGCTGCCAACACCCTCATCGCTGACTACGTGGCCAAGAGCGGCTTCTTCCGGGTGTTCATCGGGGTGAATGATCTGGAGAAGGAGGGGCAGTACGTGTTCACGGACAACACTCCACTGCAGAACTACAGCAACTGGAAGGAGGGGGAGCCCAGCGACCCCTTTGGTCACGAGGACTGTGTGGAAATGCTGAGCTCCGGCAGGTGGAATGACACCGAGTGCCATCTTACCATGTACTTTGTCTGTGAGTTTGTCAAGAAGAAAAAGTAACTTCTCTCATGCTACCCATGTGTTGTTTCCCTGTGACTACCGTTGCAGTTATTTTTATCCATCTTTTCTTCCTAATTACACCTCTTACATGCGTTCTAAATCCAGTAGTAAATCTAAACTGAGGTTTGGAATCTCCATCGCCATGGTCTTCTGTGACGATTATGAACATTTCGTGTAAGGCATATTATTGAACCAATAGCTCCCCAGGGTCCCAAAAAGAGAGTTTGAATTGCTTATGGTGCAGGAGGTGGTTGTCTGTGGCTCAAATGGAATGTTCGCTTGGCATTTGCTCTGCCACCTCTCCTTCAAGCCCTAAAACTCTCCTTTAAGCTTCTTAAGCTCATGGATAATCGGACAGTTGGTTGGTGATTAGGCTAACCTGCTAAGCTGCCCTTGTTCAAAGCCAGACATACGGGAAGGCTGCTGTCAGGAATGCCAAGATATTACCTGTCTTTGAGCCCAAGATCCCCTTTTCTTTGACCAGCATCTGCCATGACCATAGCCACACTCACAAGGTCCTCCTGTTTGCACAGACACAGAAATACTTCAACCCCAAGCCTCCATAGGAGGAACTTCTAGCCCAGGGACCTGTCCAGACCATATGGAATCATACAGACAGCTTTTGTGCTTCTGATAGACAGTCTTTACTAAGGTACACCAAGCAGCTGCCTTGGAGCCCTTTCTGTAAGCCCACAACTTAATCACAGGTCCCCAGATAGTAACTCTCTGATATGAGGAAAAGAGAACTTAAGAACTTGAAATTTTTAAAAATGAAAGGGTTTGTTCCGAAACAATATTATTTATAATTCTACTGCTAAATGTCCCCTGCTATTAATATGGCTCCATTTTTTCTTGTCTCATGTTTATCCATATGAACTTTCCTCCCCTTAGGTATGGGGAATGAAGGAAAGGGTTTGTGAAGCCTTCAGAAAATTCCCAAAGCTTCAAGGTGCTAGCAACGTAAAGTCTCTAAATCCCCTCTTCCTTGCATCTAATAAATCACGCATGGTGACGTTTCTTGGAAGGCCCTTTACTCTCCATAAATGTATAATGTAAGAGATGCTCTGTCCAGTACTCTGACATCACAGGAATATGTCAGGCATGGAGTTTGGAACATACCTAGGACTCACATATGCCAAGCTGGTAAAATTCCACTTTAAACTGCAGATCAAAACTCAAAGCAGCTTTCATTTGAAATCTTAAAATGAGTAGTTCAACAGAACTCAAGATTATCCCCCCCTTCTAAACTGCTGCTCCAGTTATAGTTTGTGACATATGATTAGACTGCTTAAAATGCTGGCAAAATGGTTAATGAAATAAGAGAAACAGATCAACAACATATGTTCTCCTTAAACCATCTGTCCATGATTTCACTCATGACTAACTGGTTATGAGAGAGGATTAAATTAGGCTGTTTCTGTGAGTTTATCAAGGGTCACAAACTCAGGTCCAACAGGGGCCATACAGATGACATAAATAATTGGACAGGTGGGGAGCCTAGGACTGAACACAGCTTGCCCTTCTAAAGGAACCAACCACCTGCTCCTCAGGCATTGCTATTTTTGCAATGGAAGACCCAGCGTTACTACATGTTCTGCTATTTCAAGAGAAGTCAGAAAACCAGAAGTTTATAATACAGCTTCATCTCTTGCAATGTTGGCAGTAGTCAATTTCTAATTCAAATTTTAAGTCATACAAAACAGTCCACTAGCCAAATTCATGACCTTTGCACTTCTCACACCTGGAGGAAGCTCTGAAGGTTCTTTCCATATTGAATGTCCAAAATCAAGGTCTCCCATTAATACGTTAATCAGTTCAGCTCAATCACAGGAGTTTATTCAATGTTTGCCATTCATCAGGTTAATAAACTAGTTACTTTTCAGAATTTCAAGAATGTGCATAATATGATATTTTGAAGGCAGGGCAATTTAATAAAAATTACAAAGCAGGACACCGTATTAAAGCCAGTATCCTTTGGTAGGATGCCAGCCAAGATCCTTTGAGGAATATGAACCTAAAAAGATTTGGAGGATAAGAAAGGGATCAGAAGTGAAGAGAAAGGTAATAGGCAGCAAACATTGCCTAGGGGCAGCTCAAATGGGGAATCTATATTCTGATTTGTTCTAAGCACCCAAAGTATGAATATTTATTGTGTGTGCTGTAAGTGCTATTATTATTTCTATTATGATCATTATAATAATAACGTTTCTCTCACTGACTCATCTTTGCTGCCAATGCTTCCAAGAGAGACAGTTTTAAAGAATAGGATTCATCCTGCAACCTTACCAGGAAGAGATTTCAAAGGCACCACACACTGAGATTTACTACGAAACTTAGATTTTGTGAAGCACTTTGTGCTTTACAAAATAAAAGTCTCCACATGTCATTTTTCATTTGATCCTGATAAACTCTGTGAAGTAGGAAAGGCAGACATTTTTACTGCCATTTTCCCGATGAGATTACTGAAACCCAAGTGTGGGTAAAATTGCAATATTTCCAGAATATCTCGCCTGGCTTTAGTACATCTCCATATCAATAGGTGTTTCCAAGAGGTGGAGAAAAGTAGGCCATTGCCATATCAATAGGTAATTAAATGGATGAGCAGGGCATATCTAGACAGAGAGGTTGGGTGGGGTCCCTTCTGCAGCTTGGTCGCAAGAGACAAGGGAAAGCAGAAGTGGGCGACTGCTTGTAAGAAATAAACAGGTTTCTCCCACTTTATTTCTATCTTTGACAGCTTTTGGTTTCAAAGGTATTTTGCCCCCAGGATTTTCCCCCCAGAGTTACACTTCTCCTCACAGAGTGGCCCGACAGATAAAGAAGGTAAGGAATAATGAGGTAAGCAGCAGGGTGTCAGCCAGACCACACTATATGAGCACGATAAAACTTAGCCATTACTACCAGGCACATGTTGAAAAGAAACGAACCATATCTGAAGACACAGGCTTCCCCTGCTATCTGAAAATAAAGTGTTCCTATGAAACCTTTTGTAAGCCGAAATCATGTAAAGTGAAGAAGCAATTGCCATTAACGTATATGCAAAAGTCTTTGAGTATTCTCAAATCCAAAAAAAACCCGTCTTACACTTTTCTGATACCTTAAGACACATCTCGTTGACCGATGCATAAAACAAATCTCACAAAGCACAGATGCTCACAGACACAGTTCAAACCTGTGGTGGCTTGACTGAGATGCTGAGTGTAGGTCCAGGGATAGAGCTTGGGGGCTGCTCCTGCAGCTCGGGGTGTGCACTGCCACTATAGCAGCTTGCTGCAAAACAAATGCTGGACACTATTTTCCATTTTCAGAAAAGTGGAAATCCTATTAAATATTTTTGGATTAGCAAAAACAGGTATTAATGTAGGTCTTTTGTAAAAGTGATGTGGCATAATGCAAACTTTTGAAAAGTGAGGGATACCTGTATATAAAAAATTACTGAAGTGACAAAATAAATGTATACAGCATATACACTATATATGTCTATACATGTATATATACACACATATGTATAAATATATATGCTCCACATGTGTATTTGTGTCTGTGTGTGTGTATACACAGAAAGGTAACTTTTTTATGGTCATTTCCAGATAAAATTTTCATCTTCAAGACAATGGCTATTCCTGTCTGTCAAAAGATGCAATGCTGATGAGAAATAGAGCTGAGAGTCATAATTGGATGTAATTGATTCTTAAACCATCTATACTTTTTCTAAGATGCAGTTCATCTAAACCTATGTTAATCAAATAAAAAGTAAATGCTTTTTTTCAACTTAAAAATGAAGTCACTGACTTGTATTTCCTGGAGATTGTAAGGCCTCCATAATCTAGCAGAGTCCCTTAAAATTTGAGGGGACAAAGGTCATGTCCTTTTGAATGGAGATTAAAAGGAAAAAAACTATTTGCTTATAAATATCTTCAGGAATACAGGACTTTCTTTTACTCTACCCTGATGGTCACAGAGTCCATATTTGAAAGTTTTTAGTAATTTGCTAACCCCATTAGAAAGTTTTTCCTTATAGTGAACTAAAATACACTTCTCTCTAATTTGCACCCATTGTCCTTGTTCTGTCTTGTGCTGCTTATAACACTGAGGTTCCTGGTCTTCACACAAGCTAGGACAGGCTCTGAATCAAAGTACAGATGGGGCAGAGAGAACTGTCCTCACCATGGTAATAATCATGAAGGTGGTTTTCCAGTTTTACAGAATTTTCTAAAGCTAGATGGCATGCAGCACTTCCAGTGATTTCAGATTTTGTTGGTGAGGCATGGGCGGGAGGGATGCGGAGTGGGAATGGTATTCAAAGTCATGTGGGGCATCTCAATCACAAATAACCTATTTATTAGGAGGAGTACATGGCAGACAGGGTCAACCCACCAGGTAGGAGGCTGTTAAGTGGTAGATGATTTTGTAAGGCCCCAGGGAGAGGGTTCAGAGCAGGTGACCAGTGCCAGTGGGGGAAGGAAGTCAAAGCTGGGTCCAGGCACATGAAGCCTGCGGGATGAACAATGGCTTAAGTGGATGCTGGAGTTATTCAACTCATTAGTTCATCAAATGTATTTTATGGAGCATTTAACATGTGTTAAGTGGCACCATAATAAGGGCTGGAGACCCAGTGGAAAAGAAGACAGATCAGGTTTCTAGCCTCAAGGGCAGAACTGCCTCCCCTCGGGCCCATTGAACACCAGCCCTAAACACTGAGGCCCAAATTTATTCCATTGTCAGGGATGGAATATATAAACTTATCCTATTTTTATACCAGCTTCCTCTTCAACATAACATCTCTTCAAAGATACACTAAAATAAATTGGACAAGGGGATTTTTTTGTAAAAGTACCACATCACCCCTTCTTGAAGATCAATACTGACAATATCTTTACAAATACATTTACACATCCGTTTTGGCTGACTCACTTTGATGTGAGTCAAAAACAAAAAGTTCTCATATGAATATGCATACACACCCACACCATTTCCTCCCAAGATAGAATGTATCCTTGCGGTTGTGCATAAGTGAACATTGACACCTGGTCAATGTTCCCTTGTCTTATTTTTTCCTGGTGACCTACACCTGACATTCTGTGAAATCCGGATTTGCCATGCATCATCAGTTTCATAATAAAATAGGGACAGACAGGGAGAAGGGAGGAGAACTGAGGTAGACATTTCACAATTTATTAAAATGCAAGTACAGAAACCCAAAAATTAACCACCATGTTGGTGTCTGCAGTTGGGAGATAATGCAGATTAAGGTGCATCCACACAATTTTAAAGCTGTATAACCCTTTGGCATATGTGTTTTTCACTTTAGAACCCTTAAATAGAAGAATTAATCAATAGGTACTGGAGTCCAGCTCCAGCTGCGGGGGTGACGGGGGGTGGGGGACGGTGAAGCCCAAAAAGATGAGATGGAGTTGGTGCACGGAGAGACAGGACACAGAGTCAGATGGAGGTGGTCTCTCGACAAAGTGCCAATGACAGCTTTATTTATACCATTTTGCACAAGGATGTGATTATTTTTTATTGTTCTGTTGAATAATTGGTAATAGGTAGTTGATTAATAGGTATAGGCAAGCTTTTTTCTTTCTTCTTTCTATCTATTCATGGTTGGTCAAGTATTAGACAGGTGATCATTTTCTGTTCCTCGACCAAAACTTTTCCTAGCAACATGTACTCTATCATGTTTTATGTTTCCATGCAACGCAGTTTCTAAGTAGTGTATGTGACTGCAGGAGCGTGCAGTATGTAGCAGTGACTATGGAGTCTATCAGCTCAGGGTGAAATACAGGTCACCTGCTACCATAGTTAGCTAGGCAGGTATGATCATCTATTATTTCTAATGCAATGGGCACATTTTATCCCCTCATAATATTTATTCTATTGTAGGTAGTTGCAAGATAAAGATAGAAAGCATGATTTAGTGCTGTTAGAAGGCAAGTATAGATGATCAGGTCTATGCCTATAGACCAGGTATTAATCCAAGCCAGACAAGGGCAACAAAACATCCACAGGTGTAGACAATTTTTCTCAAGACTTGGGGGGTGAGGTTCTAAGCCTCACCTCTGTTGGCCCCCATTTTCTCACCTGATGACCCCCCTGCGACTGTGCCTGTCTTAGGTTGTTCCTCCCTTGAGGAATCTTACCCATCTCTGGCTAACCAGCCATCTTCCAGGGCCATACAGGGAAATGTAAAGTTAGTAAGTGAGAGAGAAGTAATGTTTTTTGAAAAGGTTAGTTTTTCACTTCTTTGCAGATTTATGCCCTGTGGCTTCTATGCCCAGCACTTGTCTTGAGGTATCTTTACCACTTGGAAGAATTATGGTACTTGGTAATTTCACGTATGAGGCACAAATTCTAGTAAAGGGTTGTAATTAGGAAGTAAGAGGAAAAACTGTAGAAGTAGCAGACAGAAGAAAACATGAGAAGATTGATTAAGTGTCATACAGGGTTATTCCATTCATTATTCCCCTGTAACTCTATTTCTCTAATTTTCCTATAAAACTCTCCATCACTAATTTCACTAGCATTGCAAACAAGGGGGGCATTCCCACTTAGGTGGAGATGGGGTAGTCAAAGTTTGACTAACTGCAGGTTTTGGTATTCTATGCCAAGATTGCCATCTAGCCCCTGTGTGTTCCATTCTTCAGGAGCACTGTCCTGAGAAGCTTCTGGGAAGTTTATGTTCTCCTCCTTTCCGTGCTGCTTATCAAAGTTTAGCTTAGTCTTTGGCAAAAATGCAAGCCAAAGCAAAGCCAATAGTATAATGGAGAAAAACAAAATACAGGTGGGTAATAGGGGGAGCCAGCTGCGAAGGCCCCTGCTTTGTGGGGGGTCTTCCTCCAGCCTGAGCTTTGCTACACAGCTTGATTTGCATGGCTCCCGGCAAATAGGTAAGCCTTATTCTTTGTATGAACCTGGTTGGTGGGCCTTTGAGAGAGGGCATGGAGGTGAGACCTGTCTACAGTCCACCCTTCAATATACTGATAGAATATCAGTCCCAGGGAAGAAAGAGGTCTCATAATCTCTGTAAAGATGTTGAAAAGCTCAGAGAGGCAGAGAAACATTTTCGAAGCCTTGGGAAAATGAGGTAAGGGGAGACATAATCGCAAAACATATTCAGTTTCAATCCAAGTAAGTCTAGGTGAATATTTTCACTAAAGATAGTCAACATAATATAGAATTATGGGAGACTCTTCCCTACTAGATCACAGTTTTTTGTGATATTTCCTAAATCAACCATAGAAGGTGATTCTGGAGAAGCTTACCAGGAGAAGCAAATGTGTTTTTGGATGCTTTCTGGAAATGTTTATGTCTAAAAATATTTTCCCCAAATCTATTGTTTTGCATGACTGTCTTTGACTTTGCTGACCTTGGCATTTTCCAAGGACTCAACATCCAGGCTGGATGAAGGATTTTTATACTGGTACTTAGAAGCACCACTATTCTCTTTTCCACAGAATAGGTGAATTATCTTTGCCCTAACTGATCTCAGGGCTTAAAGAATAGAGTGAACAAATGCAAACAGCTAGTTCCAATTTTGTTCACTACACTTGAGGAAAGGGAGATAATTTGATGTATCAAAAAATACATTTTGAGACACTGGAATGAAATATCAAAAAGCACAGTCTTTTGAGAAGCTAGGAAATAGGGTTTCCTAATACTAAGCACTCCTATATAGATAGATTTTATTTAAAAAAGAATAAGGAAGAGGGTAAATATATATGTTTGTGGCTCCACCTTTGAAGATGCAAGAGAAAAAATAACTAAACTCCTCTTTCCTCAGATAATCTATCTCATTGGGGATGGGATTACCCTCTCCTTCTCTTTTAAAAAGTTGTATTTTAAGTTTCCCTTACATTTTCAAAAAAATCAGGAGCTCCCTAAGCATTATGTTCTGGCCTCTCCAACTCATGCCTTTATGAATTATCAGGGTAATATTTACAGTATGAAATTATACATGAGCAAAGGATGTGTTCCCTTGTCTTATTTTTTCCTGGTGACCTACAACTGACATCCAGTGAAACCCAGATAAACCATCAGTTCCATATGGACAGAAATTACACAATATCTGGGCCCCGGTATGCAAGCTCCTTATAGTGGAAATCTGTACCATCAAATTGTCTGCAATACTCATAAATAATTTGCTGCTTGGGATTCTGAAATATCCTTGCACTTAACTTGATCCTTATGGCCCATTATTACCTGGGAATTTCTAGTCATAGTCGTTGGAAAATGTCCTCACCCTGTGTCAAAGTATGATTACCAATAGCTATGGGGGTTATAGATCCTTAGTTCCTTTACTGTTAACATGGCTTCTTGCATTGACACCCAATGATGAAGAGCAGAAGACAGATTCATCTTATTTTGTACAAATATCACTGGAAGTAAACCCACCCTCGTGTAGGTTTATGCACTCAATGCCCACAGGGGATCTTCGGTTAAGCCTTTGTTCTAGTGAATCTCCTTCCCATCAAGTTCATTAATGTCCACTTCAACTCAACAAAACCACACAAGCTAATACCCTAACTCGTATCTCAGCTCCTAGAAATATTTGTCCTGACCGAAATCCATTTTTACAGGTATATTGTCCAGCTTCAGTCTCAAACACTTTTTATCATACTCCTACTGGAAGTCCTCGGCTGAAACTAGGCTGTGGTAAAGGATAACGTGGAGAATATTCAGTCCCAGACAGGCAGAACCTGGGATACCCATTGGACTTTGGAAGTCTCAGGAGACTAAATCTTTG